GTTTTTTTTTTTTTTTAAAAAGAAAAGAAACATATACCTGGGCATTTTTATTTAGAGAGGAAACAAATCAATAGCAGAGGTAATAAGAAACCAATTAAAACCTCCAAAGTTAATAGCAGAAAGTTCAGAAGATCCCAGCTGGTCATATTTTTCAATTAATGAAAAGTCACTATGAATGGCAAACAGGGGACTCTACAAGCTGTTTGGATAAAATACAGTAATGACAAGTTAAGGATCAAACACCAAACCAGAACATAACATTTTAGTCCTGTGCAATCGATCTGAAAATCAGCAATGGCACGCACCCACTAAACAAATAGAAAGGAGCACTAAAGGAAAGAGGATGGGAAAGAGATAGAAATTCCTTGATGGATGTGAGAGTTAGTAGGATAAGAAAACTAGTCCATCTGTACCTGGGAAATATCTGCTGTTTTATAAAAGGTTTTTTTATCAAGAGTTTTCAGGCTTCCAACAACACAAGGCAAATCAACCAGCGTTGCAGCTAGTGAAACATCTTCTACCTCAACAACTGCATGACGTCCATCAGCTAAAGAGAAGCAAACAAGATTAAAGTTGATATTGTCCCAATGAGCTATTAAGCCTCCTTCTTGTTGTTGTTATGTGCCGTTGAGTTGGACCCGACTCATAGCAACCTCTCCTTGGGTTTCCGAGGCGGTATCACTACAGAAGTAGATTGCCCATCTTCCTTCCGAGGAGTGGCTGGTGGGTTTGAACCGCTAGCCTTCTGGTTAGCAGTCAAGTGCCTTATGCACTAAGCCTCCTAGGGTTGGAATAATGAAGAATAGGGTGGGTCAGACTACTGTTTCAGTGAAACCTATTCTTTTTCATTAAGCTCCCACTGTGTACACAATTAGTAAATTCCCAGAGAAAGAAGGCTAAGTACATGGCGTTCTCTTTCCTGAGTTTATGTCAGTCCTTCAAAAGTATAGGCTGTTGCCAGATTACAAACGAGTTCTTCTCCTAAGTCTGACTTTAAGTTGAATTTATACGTAAGTCATAACAGTTAGGTACTGCTCATATCTAACCTCAGTTAGTCAAATGTTTGTCTTAGTATATAGTGGACCTTTCCACACATAAAAACATCAAAGAAACACTTTCAGGTACACAAAAACATCTTTAACAAAATAATACAGTGAAAATAATAATGTTTTGATGCATACTGCAAAGCAGTGCCCGTTTGTTACAATGAACCATTGTATGTACTTCAAATTTTTAATGTAACTGGCTTCAGGGGGTTGGTTCACAACTACAGGTTGTACGTAAGTCAGTCATATAAAACCTAGGGACAGCCTGTAGCTAAGTTTTTTGTTAAGGGGTGTGAACTAAATACAGGTAAAGCAGCAAATGTTTCATTCTTATCCTGAGAAGAAAATCCCATTCATGCAAACCATTCATTCTAACACCATTGTTGTTGTTGTTGTTATGTGCCGTCAAGTCGGCCCTGACTCTTAGCGACCCCTCCTTGGGTTTCCGAGGCAGTATCACTACGGAAGTATTAGAAGCATTCAATTGTGTCCTCGTACATGTGTGTTTAAAAGCTAGAGTGAAGGAAGGATTGACCCTAGGATGGTGTAAATAAGTCTCAAGTTATAATCTATAGTTAGCATCACAAAGACAAAATTCTGTAAAACGGACACATACACAACTCCAAATCCTGCAGCTATCTCAAACATGAATGTCTTTAAACACAAGAGGATTTAGGTGTAACCTCCTAATATTAAAAGAGAAAGATGCAGAATCATGTCTGACATGATCCTTTTTGTGTAGATTCACTTAAAAAGATATATTAAGAGAAATTATTTATAGGATAGGATGTATAAGGGAGCTCTGGTGGCACAGTACCTAAGGCATCTGACTGCTAACCAGAAGGCTGGCAGTTCAAATCCACCAGCCACTCCTCGGAAGGAAGACTGGGGGATCTGCTTCTGTAGAGATACTGGTTTAGAAACCCAAGGAAGGGTCGCTATGAGTTGGAAATGACTTGATGGCAGTGAGTTTGGTTTTTTTTTATTTTTGGAATTATGTATACAGAGCTCTGGTGGTGTAGTGGTTAAGGCATTTGACTGCTAACCAAAAGGGTTGGTGGTTCAAACCTACCAGCCATTCTATGGAAGAAAGATGGGGCAGTCTGCAGTGAGTTTTTTGTTTGTTTGTTTGTTTCTTGAGAAGGGCGTTATTATGTATAAGGACCGGGCAGTGTTTCATTCTGTTGTACATAGGGTTGCTATGAGTTGAAACGGACTCAATGGCACCTAACATGAACAGTTATGTATAAAAGCTTTTCCTGTAAGGAAACACAAGAAAAAATGGTTAATATTATTTACCTTCGGCATTGAGATTGGGGCACTGTGAGGAAAGAGAATTTCATTTCTCCTTTTGAACCTTTCTGTTTTATTTGAATTTTCTAATCATGAACTTATATTACTTTTTTTTTTTTTTTTTTTTTTTTTAGTGTCAATAGGGGTTACCTGAGTAGTGAGATTATAGGTCATTTTAATTTTCATCTTTATGTACTTCTCTGTATTTATAAAACCTAATAAGCATCATTTAAGAGAAAGAAAGCAGCTTCATCCTTGTAAATAAACAAAAATGATTTATCATTGCCCTGGACACAGAAATCACAAAGCTTATATATGGTAGGAGACCATCAGCCATATGAAAATCCCACAAATGACCCCCAAGTTCTTCCTTATACACACTATCATAATTACTCACCTTCAAGTTACATAATTGTTAAATCCTTTCCTCTTAAGTGAAGAGATGAGTGACTTCTGCCTCTCTAAACTGTGAGCCTATGAAGCTGGAGATTCTATTCTATTCTTTTCCACATCCTTAGCACCTAAGTGTCTGGTACATAGCAGTCTCTTAAATTATTGTTCAATATACAATGAATTAATATTAACTACTTACGATATAAGTCAATTTTTAGTTTATCCTTCATGGTGATACTTCTAGAACGTGCTATCTTCTTGACAGTAGAAGCATATTCCTAAATATAGATAAATAAATAAATTCAGAAGGATGAATTTCCTACTTGGCCGCTAACAGAAAGCCTTCCCTTAAATTAAACCTTAAACCTCCCAAACCTTTATAACAATGCAATGTACCATGAGATACCATGCATTGTGTTAGTTGAATGAGGCTGAGGTTAATCCTTCTGTTGTCTTTTATTAGCTACAATTAATAAAAGCTCTATGTTCCTGCCTCTCATTGCTAAGGAAAGGTGTAGCTGCAGTGTAGTGGGTATATTAGTTAACGCTAATTGGGGATATACATTTCTGAACCCATCCCTAACATAGCTTTCTTAAACTAACTAATGCTTGAATATAGAGATCAGTGGTGGAAGAGCCCCAAATAAAATGTGACATGAGGTTCAATAAAGCTGTGCATGGGATGAATTTTCAGGAGACACAGTGCTGATCCCTTTCACTGCCCCTTTTGAGGTGACAGAACGAATTTTAAAAGAATCTTATCTTGGCCACCCAGTGAAAAGTGACTGAATTCACTGTTGTTACAGTTGTTTTCTAGGAAGTCAACCCACACAATAGGTGGTATGCACAAAGCGAAAGAAATGCTGCTAAAATAGTGCACATTAGTATAGGACTGCTTAATAAATAGCATATGAGTCTTGGGAAACAAATGTTCTGAGTTGTATAGCCTACCTTAAACAGAAATGTTACAGAATCCAAACAGAACTCATATTTATACACTGAAAATATTTGGTCAGAGATTCAAGGGTTTCTTACCAGAGGCAGACGCAATATAAACTGGTTCTCAAGTTCGTGAGGCGGTTCACTCTGGGTTTTACTCATCTCTTGATTTTGAGTTCATGAAAACAAAAACAAAAGCAACTGAGAGTTACTAAAAACTTCTCTTGCTCCCTCTGCTGACCACTGTTGGTCAAGACCAAACCCAATGCCGACTCATAGTGACCCTATAGGACAGAGTAGAACTGCCCCCATAGGGTTTCCAAAGCTGTAACTCCTAATGGAAGCAAACTGCCATGTCTTTCTCCTTCAGAGCAGCTGGAGGATTTGAACCACTGACCTTTTGGTTAGCAGCCCAGTGCTTGACCAGTACGCCACCAGGGTTCCTTCCACTGCTGGTACAAAAACCAAACTCACTGCCATCAAGTTGGATCCGACTCATAGTGACCCCTCCTTGGGTTTCCAAGGCGGTATCGCTCCGGAAGTAGATTGCCCAGTCTTCCTTCTGAGGAGTGGCTGGTGGGTTTGAACCGCCAGCCTTCTGGTTAGCAGTCAAATGATGTAGGCACTATGCCACCAGAGCTCCACTGCTGGTAGTACTAGTTAAATTATACAAGACCCTACCCAGTATCTTCATTGGAATTGTGTGCACAAATATATATCTTATTTGACTTAAGTTGATTATTCTTAAAAGTCACTTTATCTCCCCTCTAATATATGAAGATTTTTCCAAAGTCAATCCAAGTTACATGATAACAATTCTTTTGCAATCAACTATGTATACCAACCAAATGAGGTAAGAGCTGATTACTCTTAATGATATTCTGAGACTCTCAGATAAAGGACTACAATTAAATACAAATGGTGGCTACTTGAGCAAACTCCATGGGCTCTGCAAAGATAAATGCTAGCCAAAGATTGAAATCAAGCCAGAAACCATTTGCAGAAATGTTCTGTGCTGGTTTGAAGAAAACAAGAGCTTAATTTTCAATATTTCAGTCCCCATAATGGATTAGTAGGAATTAAGTTCCTTTTATATAAAAGGAACTATTTTAAGAGGGAGCTCTAGTAGCGTAGTGGCTAATGCACCTGACTGCTAACCAGAGAGCTGGCGGTTCAAACCCACCAGCCTCTCCTCGGAAGGAAGGCTGGGCAATCTACTTCCGTGGTGATACTGCCTTGGAAACCCAAGGAGGGGTCGCTATGAGTTGGGTCTGACTCGATGGCAAATAACAACAACAACAGAAATTAAGCTGTCCGTGGGCAAGCCAGCATCAAGAATTCTGAGCTACCTTGGGGGAAAGTTAGGAGTCCAATTCTTATAGTTAAACTATCTATTTGAATACACATAACGTCATGCAACACACCTCAGGCATTCTAGAAAGCGTGCTATAAACAGAACTTAAAATCTGATTTGATGTATTCATTACCAACATTTATTGCCTGCATTCTGTGTGGTCTATTATTTCATTTAATAATATTTAATATTACTTCTATTACTACCTGGTCTATTACTTCATTTAATCCTCATAACCACCCCTTATTTGAAATATCCCTAAAAGCTACGTAAAGGAATCTTAAAATAGTTGTTGTTGTGTTGTTGTTATGTGCCATCGAGTCAGACCCGACTCATAGCAACCCCTCCTTGGGTTTCCAAGGTGGTATCACTACAGAAGCAGATTGCCCAACCTTCCTTCTGAGGAGTGGCTGGTGGGTTTGAACTGCCAGCCTTCTGGTTAGCAGTCAAATGCCTTAGGCACTATGCTACCAGAGCTCCCTCTTAAAACAGTTCCTTTTAGATAAAAATACACCCTCTGTTAAGTGAATAATCTACTCCAACTTAATTTTTGTTTTTAAATCTCATTTTGTATCTATGTGGAATGTATTTGTAGTGGCTTGCATTTTCGCTATTAGGGTACACACCTCTTCGGATGAAGATTTTTCTCAAATATGGAAATAAAGCAATGTATACGTATGAAATCTGGTAACTTTTCTTAGGACACGACCCTATGCACCAAGTTACAAGATCTTACACTTCAAATTAGATTAAAAGCTCTCGTTAAAGCACAGTTCCTAATACTCGGCAAACCATGAACTGGACTCTGGGGCTCTGAGTTCTGAATTCGAATCTCACTTAAGATCACCAAGCCTTTCTTTTCTTTCTTTCTAATACATTCAAGTGGAGCTGGACAAGATTAGGGTGAAATCGTTCACCAGTTATAATTTCAGTCCCTTGGTATGGTGGCTTTGAAACTTTCAGAAAGGCAATAGGCAGACACTGAAAGAGGGACAGAGACAGAGCCAAAGAGAGAGAGAATGAATCACAAATACATTATTGGTAAAAGAATAAAAAATGCATTGTTTGTGATAGTCATTTTTTTCCCTTGCTTCACATTTACATAAATTTTCCTACATACTGTTGTTGTTGTTGTTTGCCATGGAGGCAGGTATGACTCCTAGCGACCCCTCCTTGGGTTTCCGAGGCAATATCACTACAGAAGTAGATTGCCCAAACTTCCTTCCCAGGAGTGGCTGGTGGGTTTGAACCACCAGCCTTCTGGTTAGCAGTCAAGTGCCTTAGGCACTATGCTACCAGAGAAATATAAAAACTAACCTCAATGGTAAGAAAAAAAATTAATTTAAGTAAATGAAATAAAAATCCTGGGGCTGGGCACAATTGCCTAAAGCAACAAAGAATATCAAACACTTAAAACTGGGAGCAGAAACACAGATTGATTTGAAGAACCAGCTGCTAAGCAAGATTTTATTGGATCAGTAGTAACCTTTAGATTTCTCAGCAGAACTAAGACTAGGGCATTGTGTTCATTTCAATGCCTTTTTGGCAACTCCTTTCTTAAGAAAGAAAAATTGTAAGAGATGAAACTATTCCATTACAGCTGCTTGTAACCTCTCTAATAAAGGGTTTGGTAGGAGACCAGGCAGACAGCCCTGGGTGAAATGATTTTTTTTTTTTTCTTTTTTTAACGTGTTACCTGCATCTACCCAAAGAACTTGTATCAGATTTACTTTAAAGAACAAACATCCACTTTTTTTCCAGCAAGCATTCTTGGATCCCTAATTAAATCACCAGGACTGCCCTCCTCAATCACCCCAGCACCACACGCTTTAGCAGAATTACACTAATGAACCGGTGGGTGCCCAACAGCTCGCTCCAGGAGGCACACGTCTAGGTCTCTATTTTCTCAAGTTTACAACCCCTGGCTGCGGTTTGGAGGAAATAACAACTCCATCCTTTCCCTGAGGCACTAAACTTTCAAGGGACAATTCTAGCTCCTAGGCTTTGATCCCATTTCCCTTGAAAACCTCCGGAGG